TGGGCTCGCAGCGCTGGCAACAGCTCCCGCACCAGCACTGCGGTCAGCACCTGCAGGAGAGGGGACCTGGCTCCGGTGAAGGCCGAGGGGGCTTCTGGGGGTACGGGTGGGGCCTTGCACGGCACTGACCTCCGCGTCCGAGCCCAGCGTCATGTCGTCGTGGCCAAAGTGGCCTCGGTGCTGCCGGTAGAGCCGTACGGCCTCCAGGAAGGCACGGGCGGCAGGGGCCTGGCTTCGCTGTAGGACTGGAGCGAGGGGAGGCTCCTCAGTGCCCGCCCACCCTCCTCTGCTCTCGCTCTGCCTGGCTCCTCTGCTCCCCAAGAGGAAGGAAGCCCTTGTACTCCCTGCCAGGTCCCGAACACCCAGGTCACACCCACCTCCAGACCTTGGCCCTCGCAGGGAACACGCTCCCCAAGACCTCGCCAGCCCATCAGGAGCCTTTACACAACGTGGGAAAGGCACCCCTGCGGCAGCCACAGCCACGCTGCACTGCGTCTCCCTGCCTCTCCATTCGGGTTCATTCGTTCTGCCAACGGCCTGCCCACTTGTTTATGTTGGTCCTGTTCCCTGTATGGCCTGGTTGGCCCCTCCTCTGTTTTGGACCCCAGCTTAGGAATCCCCTCCTCTCAGAAGCCCTCCCTGATCCCCCCGGGGAAGCTCCCGCCAGGCAATGTCCCCGTCACAGCCCTATCCTGTCTGTCTCCCCCCACAACCCATTTTATAGATAAGGAAACTGAGGCTGGGAGTGGGTCCCACAGCCAGCAGGCGCAGAGCCCCATCCCTGCCTGACCTTCCCCGGGGCCCACCTGTGCCACGGAGCCGGATGCCACCCTGCAGGGCCAGCCTCCACGCACGCTGGGCCTCCGCTGTGGCTGCAGAGAAACAGAGGTGCCTTCGGAAGGGGTGCTGCAGGAACAGGGGCAAGCTCACGGGCGTTTCCAGGAGGGGGTCAGGCTCTTCCTGCGTGTGGTCTCCTGAAAGGAGGCAGAGGGGTCACAGCTGTATTCATGCCTTTGCTCTACAATCATTCGTTCTCCAGGAGAAAGTAACCATGAAATACTTAGAGGAGGTGCTCAATATGCGTGTAATCCGTGCTACAGCTGCAGTGTCCCTATTCCAGCTCAGTCTCCAGGGCGGATGTGCCCCGGCTTGAGCAATTCATCCCAGCACTTTCTCCCAGCCTCTGCGTCCTCCTCGACACGGTGGCCTGGGCAGCCACCAACAACCTATCCTAGTTGGCCTGTGAGCTGAGCCCTGCTCATGCCATGCCCAGGTTCAAACTTGGCCAGACCATTTTCCGTGCGTAGGGCACCGTTTTTCATCTCTCTGATCCTGTAAAATGGGTTTGAAAGTGTTATCAATGACCTAGAGTGGTTGGGAGGACACAGTGGGTGGATTTCATTCTGTTTAATCTATTTGAGGCCTCCTAAAATCCTCAGTGTTTTGTCCTGTAGAGTAGTATACACAGACCGCAGGGAAATACATTCATTTTACTGGGCAAGAGGTTGGTCACTGGACCAGAAGCAAAGTAGCGAAGGGTGACACAAAGGGGTATGTGGGTGGATCCCAATGTTTGCAACGTCCTCAACATTCCTGCAGACTGTCCTTGTTGCTGCATTTGCCTCCTTGGCTGGCAAGATAGCTCCTCAGCAAAGTCAGTGACGCAGTTCTAGCTCTGAGCCTTACTGATGTATGACAGGCCTCGGCCCCGGCCTCAGCGCATGCATCTGTGGAATGAGGTGGCTAGTGGGGTGGCCTGATATTCATGAGATAACGCAAGCCCTCCTCAGATGCATCCAGCCCCGCTGTGCTGCGCCTTTCCCTGTTCCTGCACAGTGTGCCCTGGGAGGGAGGGAGAGAGGAAGGAAAGGAGGGAGAGATTGAGAAAGAGAGGAGGCCAGGGGAGGGAGAGGAGGAGAAGGGGCAATGGAAGGAGAAAAGGAGGGAGGGAAGGAGGGAGGAAGTTAGAGAAAGAGAGAGAGGGGAGGGTGGGGAGGAGGAGAAGAGAGAATGGAAGAAGAGAGGGAGGAAGGGAGAACCTCCTGGAAACGCTAGACTGAACCATCACCCAGCACCTCCTCCCACACACACACCAGTGCCCATCTCCCCACAGACTCCCTGCTGCAGGGCTTGTTCTCACTGCTCTGCTACTTTGGTTCTGGTCCCGTGACCAGCCTCTCTCGCTGCCGAGAACGGTGTTTCTCTTTCTAGAGTCTGGCTGCTTATCCAGAAACAACGCTGCCCCCCAGGGACACGTGGCCATGTCTAGAGACGAATTTGGTGGTTGCACTTGGGGGAGAGGGGAGCTGCTACTGGCATCTAGTGGGTGGAGACAGGGATGCTGTTCAACACCCTGCCGTGCCCAGGGCAGCCCCACTGACGGGGCCAGTGTCAACAGCACTGAAGTAGAGACACCTGCTTTTGGGATCCCCAGGCCTTACCTGAGGAGTCCGGGCAGAGAGTGTCCAACAGGTGGAGATACTCGCGCTGGGAAGTCAGGACTGTGTACCCTGTCAGGGCCGCGGAGCCCAGAGGACGGCCCCCGTTTTCATATTCCTACGAAAAGTGTCCAAAGAACCGCGCTGGGACGAGTCTAACCTGTGGCTTCCACGTCTCAGTGCAGGACCCGGGGAAGGTCTGGGGTTAGATGGGGAAACCCCCACCTCCCTTCCTGCCTCCACCTCCCCCGCCTCCTCCACAGAAGCCCTGCAGCCGCCACTGTGCGCTGGGCTGGGTGGGGTTGTCTCACGGAGTCAGACAGCCCCGTGCTTCGTGGGCCAGCATCAGCCGGCTCATAAGCTGGAAACTGCCTCCCACGGCATCAAGGGACCTGAGTGAATTCCCCAGCCGGGCAGCAGGGCGTGGGCCTGACCCACGCGGCCTACCGTGGCTTCAACCTCGGCTCTGCTGACGACCATGAGTGAGCCCCTACCCCTGTCCCTGGCCTCAGTCCATCCACCTGGCACAACAGGAGATGGTCGCCCGGCCCAGGCCAGGGACACAGGGGCCCTCGATTCAGGCTAGATCAGTGGTCGGCAAACTGCGGCCTGAGAGCCACATGTGGCACTTTGGCCCCTTGAGTGTGGCTCTTCTATAAAATACCACGTGCAGGCGCGCACGTATAGGGCGATTGAAACGTTGTGGCCCATGCGCAGAAGTCGGTATTTTGTGGAAGAGCCACACTGAAGGGGCCAAAGAGCCGCATGTGGCTCAGCCCACTCTGGGGAGGGCGGGATGGAGAACCTGGAGGCCAAAGGGACATAAGCCATTCACTCACCTCCCTGTGGCTGAACCACTCCAGGTGGCCATTCCCACGCAGGACACAGAAGACGGGCTGCCACTGGGGTGGGTGGCCCCACAGCTGGGACAGGGGCCCGCGGTGCTCACGGACTCGGGGGAGCTTCTGTGGAGGAGGGGCTCTCAGATGTCAGGGGCCCTGGCCAGTGCCCTGGGGTCCAGACCATCAGGACAGCTCCCACAGGTGGCACTAAGCATAGGGCACTTGGGCGCCAGGTGGCACTCCTGTCTTTACCAGGCACGCTCAGAGCATGCACTTATTTGTGGCCCTTCCAAATAAGAATATCTTTTTTTTTAATTTATGTTTTTAAAATATTTTTTTATTGGTTTCAGAGAGGAAGGGAGAGGAAGGGATGGAGGGAGGGAGAGAGAGAGAGAGAGACATCAATGATGAGAGGGCATCATTTGATTAGCTGCCTCCTGCACGTTCCCTATTGGGGATTGAGCCTGCAACCCAGGCATGTGCCCTTGACCGGAATCAAACCCGGGACCCTTCAGTCCACAGGCCGACACTCTATCCACTGAGCAAAACCAGCTAGGGCAAGAAGTGATATACAGTGGGGCCTTGACTTATGAGTTTAATTCGTTCTGAGACCGAGCTCGTTAAGGAGCTCATTAACTCAAATTACTCTATCAACTCAATGCAAAAAATCCGCCGAGAGACAGCTGGTATCTCAAAAAACTCGTTAGTCGGGACACTCGTAAGTCAAGGCCCCACTGTATCTTTTTAGTTATATCACACAGCCTTGAGACAGGCATTCTTGTCATCGCCACTCCATCTGGAGGGGGACCCTTCCTCACTTGAGCCTCAGATGAGATCCCAGCCCTGGCCAATATCTCGATTGCAACCTGCGAGACACCCTGAAAGGAAGGACTCAGAGAAGCTGCCTCTAGATTCCTGACTCAGCAACTGTGAGAGAAGTGTGTGTTGCTTTAAACTACTGACTTGCAGTATATTGTCACACAGCGTTAACTAAGCAATACAAGTGGAGTTGCGGGGCCCTGGGGCAGGTGTAGTGTAACTATATGAGAAAAGGCCGGCCTCTGTCCACAGACCCTGCCCTCAGGGGGACACTTTCTCTGTCCTCGGTTTCATTTCCTTTGTCACTCTCCCTACTACCTGATACCTGAATTGTGTGTTTTGTGTCATCACTGGGTCCCAGAGCAGTGTCTGGTGCCTAGTTGGTGCTCAATAAATATACGATGAATCAATTAACTGCAACTGAGATATTTTGATTCTTTGCTGGGGTGGTGGGAACTCAGTATGTTTTTAATGATTCTCCATGCCTTTTCCCAGGTCTAAACATTTTCATAAAATATTGTTAAAATGCCATTATAGAAATCCTATATAATAAAAGGCTAATATGCAAATAGACGGAACAGAGGAATGACTAGTCGCCATGACACGCACTGACCACCAGGGGGCAGATGCTCAACACAGGAACTGCTCCCTGGTGGTCAGTGCGCTCCCCCTGTGGGCTCATGGCTGGTGAGCACAGCAGTGGTGGCGGGAGTCATCAGTCGGACATCCCCCAAGGACTCCAACAGATTGCGAGAGGGCGCAGGCTGGGCTAAGGGACCCCCTTGAGTGCATGAATTTTGTGCACCGGGCCTCTAGTGATATATAAAATACAAGCATAAAATAAGTATTGCCCTAACCGGTTTGGCTCAGCGGATAGAGCGTTGGCCCACAGACCAAAGGGTCCCGGGTTCGATTCCGGTCAAGGGCAGGTACCTCAGTTGCAGGCTCCTTCCTGGCCAGGCTCTAGTCAGGGCATGTGCAAGAGGCAACCAATCGATGTGTTTCTCTCACATTGATGTTTCTCTCTGTCTTTCCCTCTCTCTTCCACTCTCTAAAAATCAATGGAAAAATATCCTTGGGTGAGGATTAAAATAAGTAAGTAAATAAATAAATGAATATTATATAAAATGCTCAAACTGAAGCAAGGGGAAGCCCCTCCACACTGCCCGAAACCCAATGTCAGCTGGGCCCTGGCCATGTGACTGAAACCAGCAGGTGGTGTAAGGTGCAGGGGGGAGTGACACCCGGGCCCCATGATGCCCCAAGAGGGACGGAGAGCTCTGGTTGGGAGGGTGCTCTGTGTCCACAGTGCCAGGGAGCCCCACCCCAGGGCAGGCACAGCTGGGAGAAGAGGCACCTGACTGAGGTGGGAAAACCCAGTGCCCTGATGGGGCAGGGAACCCAATGTCAGTAAGAAATATGAGCTCCGAGTTCAAATTATGCCTCTGCCTCTTGCTGGCGGTACTAGTATGACCTCAGGCAGATTCCTTTGCCTTTCTGTGCCTTGGTTTCCTTGCTGGTCAAAGACCCATCTCTGGGGCTGGTAAGGATTGAGTATGTTGTGTCAGGCACATGGAAGAGCTGGGTGCCATTGCCCGCTCAGCAGACATATGGAGCTGGGACCAGACAGCTCCAGGCTCCTTTGTTCCATCCACAAACTATTCCTGCACCCCGACTATATGCAGGTACCATGTGGGTATGAGGAGTGGGTGTGAGGG